GGGAACATGGATCAGGAGCGGCTGAAGAAGCAGCAGGAGCTGGCTGCCGCGGCCCTGTACCAGCAGCTGCAGCACCAGCACTTTCTGCAGCTGGTCGGCAGGTATGGGGAGCTTCGGGGCATGATGTGGGTACGGCAGTGGTCCTGGGTGGTCTACCATCTGAGCCCTGTCTGTCTGTAGCCGCCAGCTTCCGCAGTGCACGACGCTCCGGGAAAAGGCAGCTATGGGGGACCTGACGCCGCCGCAGCAGCAGCAGCTCACGACATTCCTGCAGCAGCTCCAGGCTCTCAAAACCCCCAGGTCTGTTTCACTGTGCATGCGTGTGTGTATGTGTGTGTGTGTGTGTGTGTGTGTGTGAGAGAGAGAGAGAGAGAGAGAGAGAGACACCAACAGAATATGTATGCTGGTGTGAGATAGGAAAGGAGGAAGGGAGGAAGTCAGGCTACAAGTGAATGCAGTGTCTTGAGGGCCAGTGTTTTGCTTCTCAGGGGTGGGGACCAGAACCTGCTCCCGACGATGAGCCGGTCCTTGTCGGTGCCAGATTCAGGCCCCCTCTGGGACTTACATACCTCAGCTTCATCACAGTCAGGTGAGTGCCAACCTGCCCCATGCCATATCCTGGTCCCTTTACCCCGAGTCCCTGCTTGTGACACTCAGGCTCTGTTTCCTATCTGGGGGTGGTTCCACTGGGCTCGGGCCTCTGCAGCTGCCTTTCCTCCTGCAGGTGGTGAGGCCAGTCTTTGGGACATACCAATTAACTCTTCGACTCAGGGTCCAATTCTAGAACAACTCCAGCTGCAACATAAAGTAAGTAACAGGCTAGCCTGTTGAAGGCCGGCTGAAGCAGGTGCAGCCCCCAGCTAACTAGCTCCTTGCCACCACAGTTTCAAGAGCGCAGAGAAGTGGAGCTCAGGGCGAAGCGGGAGGAAGAGGAGCGAAAACGCCGTGAGGAGAAGCGCCGCCAGCAGCAGCAGCAGGAGGAGCAGAAGCGGCGGCAGGAGGAGGAGGAGCTCTTTCGGCGCAAGCAGGTTCAAGTCCCACCTGTCTCCTGGGCCTGCCTGGGCCTGGTGCCAGCCACCCACCAACATCCACTATGTCCTCACGTAGGTTCGGCAGCAGGAGCTGCTGCTGAAGCTGCTACAGCAGCAGCAGGCAACGAATGTCCCTGTGCCCCCTGCACCGAGCTCCCCGCCCCCACTCTGGGCTGGCCTGGCCAAGCAGGGCCTGTCCATGAAGACTCTGCTGGAGCTGCAGATGGAAAGCGAGCGGCAGCTGCACAAGCAGCCGGCACCCCGGGATCCTCTGCGGGCCCAGGCCCCCAACCACCGAGTGGTAAGCAGCAGGGGTCCCAGGGAGCCCCCCCACCCCCCCAATGCAGCTTCCAGAATCACTGGGGGCGGGAGGAGTATGTCCCTAAGCCCTAAGCGCAGACTCCTAAAGCCGGAGATTTGGTTCTTTCCATTATTGGAAGGATGCCCCTCCCCCAACTCTTTCCCTTTCCCTTAGCCCCCCCCCCATGAGCCTCCTTGCCTAGGTAGCCAGGGCTCCATTGTAGAGCCCCCTGACTTCCTGCCATTTGCAGCAGCTTGGGGGCTTGGGCACTGCCCCCCTGAACCAGTGGGTGTCTGAGGCTGGGCCACTGTGGGGCGGGCCAGACAAGAGTGGGGGCAGCAACAGTGGCAGCCTGGGACTCTGGGAAGACACCCTCAAGAGTGGCGGGAACCTGGCCCGAAGCCTGGGCCTAAAGAACAGTCGGAGCAGCCCGTCTCTCAGGTGGGTGAGACAACTGTTTAGCTTGGGTCTGTCAGGGAGGGGTGGGTGCTAAGCTCCTGGCTCACCTGTGGCCTCCAATTCCCCCCCGCCTGCCTCAGTGACTCGTACAGCCACCTGTCAGGTCGCCCTGTTCGCAAAAAGACAGAAGAGGAAGAGAAGTTGCTGAAGCTGCTGCAGGGCATCCCTCGGCCCCAGGACGGCTTCACCCAGTGGTGTGAGCAGATGCTACACACCCTGAGCACCACGGGCAGCCTGGATGGTAGGAAGGCAATCCTGGGAGGCCATGTTGGCACTGGGGACTCCAGACCTGTCCAGCATGCTTGACTTTCCCCTCCCCATAGTGCCCATGGCTGTAGCGATCCTCAAGGAGGTGGAGTCCCCCTATGATGTCCATGATTATATCCGTTCCTGCCTGGGGGACACGCTGGAAGCCAAAGAATTTGCCAAACAATTCCTGGAGCGGAGGGCCAAGCAGAAAGCTAGTCAGCAGCGGCAGCAGCAACAGCAGCAGCAGCAGCAGGTAGAGTCTTGTGGGACCTGGGGAGGCAGGGTACCCAGGACTCTCCTGATGCTACTCTCATTTGCCATAGGAGGCCTGGCTGAGCAGCACCTCCCTGCAGACAGCCTTTCAGGCCAACCACAGCACCAAACTGGGCCCTGGGGAGGGCAGCAAGGCCAAGAGGCGGGCGCTGATGCTCCACTCAGACCCCAGCATCTTGGGTAAGCGTGGGGGTGTTTGGGAGCTCTGCTTTCCCTGTGCTGGCCAGCCGTAGGACCTGGGAACTCACCCTCACTTCTCCCCTGGCTTCAGGGTACTCCCTGCACGGCCCTTCTGGTGAGATCGAGAGCGTGGATGACTACTGACCAGCCTGTCCCACCAGCCCCCTGGGCTTTAGGCTTGGGTGGTGGCAGCGGTGACATGGACCCTCGGGTCTCCAGCCTGCAGGCTCCCAACAGGGAGCAGAGGAGGAAGCAAGTGGGGCAGGGTCCCCAGCACTTGTTACAAACCACACGATGCACCTTAACTCACCCACCACGAGGCACTTTACAGATGGGGAGGGACTTTCTTTTTCTCTTTAATTTTAAATGTTAGGAGAGACAAAAGTATCATTCAAATACTAGACTGTAGACCCATCTGCCCCTTTGGGATAATGGGTGTGACATTGGAAGGTCCACAGAGGTTTTGTTTTAGGGTTGGTTTTTTTTTTTTTTTTCGTTTTGTTTTTTGTTTTTTAAGAAAAGATGAAAAATAATGAAAAAAAAAAGTTAGGCTGAAAGAAAAAACTCACACTGTTATTTTGGGGCAGTGGGTACCAGGCTCCATGGAACTGTTCTGCCTGGCTCCCCTAAGGCTGCCCCAGAAGGTGATCATTGGGGTAACTGGAAGTTGGGTGCTGGCAGTTTGCCCAGCAAGGCCCTCTCCAGAAGCCCTGCCCACTGGACCCGCTGTGCCAGCTCCTTGTGGTGGTTACTGTGGCAGGTGTCCTGGTGAGGGGACCACAGAGTCGCCCCTTGTCTCGGCTGCTTTGGAGGAACATTGCACAAATTGGACGAGCTGCGCCAGCTCACTCACCCTCAACCCCTAAACAGCCCCCCCATACTGGGGAGCCGGGGAAAGAGCTGCCAGTGCCAGCCTGTCAGAGGTGGGCTCTGAACTCAGGCCTGCTGAGGGGCTGCCCCCACTGCTGCCATTTCGGGGGACAGCCTGGGTGTGACACTGAAAGCCCCAGCTCCCTGCCTTTGCCACATGAATGTATTCTCTGGCCCCCAAGCCTGTCTCACCCCTCCAAGAAGGGACATAGCCCTTCCTCCAGAAGCTGGAGAACACCAACCTCTCGTCATGGCCGAGTCCTTGCTTGTGTGAGGGAAAGACACCGAAGGGCGGCTTGGGGCTGAACCTGTGGTGGTGGGGCCATTGTGGGAGCACCCTGATGTGCAGCCAGCTGTGGGAAAGGAGACCACAGCTCTGCACCTGACCCTCCCATGACCAAATGGAGAGCACGAGCAGCCCCTCTCCTGGATGTTCTATGTTGGGTGTGAAGCTGGAGGTCAAGAGCCTGTGTCCTGGGCTGGGGGCCGCCTTGCCTGTGCTCACCGACTTCACTCCTCCTCATCCCGTCTGGGCTTATCTCCATTGTTGGTTGGCTTTTTTTTTTTTTTTGGAAATGCTCTTATGTTAGTGAATTCTCCCATCGACCTCATTGCTCAGAATGCAGTATTAGGGCGAGACTGCCACTGCCTCCCCTCCATGAATGTATTTCTCTTTCTGCCCTGAGGAAGTGGGGAATGGCCCCAGTTTCTTCTTTCCCATCTGTCTCCAGAGAGGCAACCTTTCGTTTTCACTTTTCTTTATTGTTGTTGTTGGTTTGTTTTTTTTTTTTTTTTTTTTTGCACCAAAGTGGCAACTGGGTCAGTGTTGGGGATAAGGCTGGCCTCTGGGTGGACGGCCCCTCCACCTGCTTCTCCCTGGTTTTGACAGTGTTAGCGTCTGTGAAAAGACAATATTCTCTCTAAAGCAATAAGGGGGTGATGGGCCAGGGGGAAATGTCTTGCTGCTGCTGGCCCCCCAGCTCCCCTTCCCTCTTGCCATTATGGTGGCACTGGAGGGTGGGAGAGACTCCTGTTGTGACTGAATGTAACCTACCCTGCCCCTGCCACAGCCAATGCAGGGGAAGGGGGCACTTGTCTCTTCCCACCCCTTCCCCCAGCTAAAGAGACTTTGAACTTGGGGGCCCATGAGCCTGGAGAGGCCTTAACCCTGTGAGGAAGTGTAGGGGGAGCCCTCTCCCACCCCATCCCCTCTGAGAGTGGTAAATGTTTACAAGCCCTGAGCCCCTACCCCAGGGGCTCAGACACCCCACCCCACCCCCATCTTAATCCTTTCTCCGTCCCAGTCTTACAGGGCCCTAGCTGCTCCACCCCGTCGTGGGGTTCAGGGTAGGGTAGGTGTCCTGTGTGCCCCAGTTTACCCCTACCTCTACCCAGTGTGACTTCCCTTCTGCCTACCCATGTAAATACTCCCAATAAAACTTGGTGTGTTCTCCAAACCCATCTTGTCTGCTGGCTTTTTCGTAGCAGGGACAGGGGCAGAGTTGGGTAGGGTTGTCTCTGGGAACTGCTGGCCTCAGGTTTGTGTAGAATACCCTCTGTCTACAGCTTGGAGAAGCCTCATACCCACTGCCTGCCTGCTTTGTGGGGGAGGGGATAGCAAGCAAGGAGACTACGTACAGAGTTGGAAGTGGTTCCTTTATGGAAAAACTGAAAATATAATAAAAATTAAAATAAAACCAGTTTAAAAAAGCCAGCCCCTGGAGTTTCCACCTCCTGCCTCTGGCCCTCCAGAGGAGTGAGGCCCCAGCCCCAGGGCAGCAAAGGGTGAGGGCTTTCCTGCCCTTCTGCTTCCCCTATTCCATCCCGACTTTTATCTCCACAGTGGGGGCCCCCCCCCGGGAGGAACCAAACCTGGGTATAGGAGCAGGACCCAAGGCCCTGTAGCCCAGGGAGGGAGGCTTGGCTGTGTACCCAGCCCCAAAGCTCCAGGCCTGTAGTGTGGGCATGGGCAGGGATGCTGCTCCCTGCCTTGGCCCATCTGGGGTTGGGGGTGGTTAGTTCCAGATCTTGAGGAAGGAGTCCCAGGAGCCTGTGGCCACGGCCATTCCATCATCTGTGACCCCAAGGCAGCTCACACGGTTATCGTGGCCAGCAAGGACACCTAGAAAAGAAAAGGACATAGGGACTAGTCTGGCCCACACGGTATACCTGTACCCTCTGTGGGCCCCAGCACAAGCCTCCCTTACCTGCACGGTCACCCTTCATGGCATCCCAGATGTTGCAGTTGAAGTCGTCATAGCCCGCGAGCAGCAGCCGGCCGCTGCGTGAGAAGGCAACCGAGGTGATGCCGCAGATGATGTTGTCATGGGAATACATGAGCAGCTCCTGATCAGCCCGCAGGTCAAACAGGCGACATGTGGCGTCATCTGATCCCGTGGTGAAGGCATAGCCATTGGGGAAGAACTGCAAGATGTGGACCGGAGACCATAAGCATGTTGGGCAAGGCCAGGGGCATGGAGCACAGGGGGCTGTCACAATGCTCCCAACTTACAGCCACGGCATTGATGTCAGATTCGTGACCTATGAATGTCTGTCGGCACATGGAATCCCGAACATCCCACAGCTTGATGGAGGCGTCACAGGCACCTGACACAAAGGTGCGGCCATCGGGGGCCAGTGACAGGGACATCACGTCCCCACTGTGTCCAGCAAAACCCACCGTCTGCTGGCCTGTCTCAATGTCCCACAGGGCACTGGAGAGGTGACAAGAAGAAGGATCAGAAATGAGTTGAAGGATAGAATCCCTGACTCTCCTGCCATATGAACCCAAACCTGACAGGGCCCTCTGGAAAGAAGGCCTGGGGCCCTAAGTGGTGCAGGAGCCACTTGGCCCCCACCCAGGGGAGGAAGCTAAGTGCTCAGAAATGTTGCCACCTGCTGGGCCCTGGACCACCCAAAGGCAGGGAACCCAGCCTGGCAGAGCCTCACCAGGTGGTATCCCCAGAGCTGGTGATGATTTGGTTGTCGTCCAGGAAGCGGCAGCATGAAAGGTACCCTTGGGAAAGGAAGTTGTAGTCAGACATTTCATCAGGCCATATTGTCTGCCCTCCCGGCTGTGTTCCTGCCTCTCCTTCAGGCTCCACTCACCAGTGTGGCCAGGCAGCTCTCTGCTGACCCTGACATTGCCCTCTCGGGTCTTGAGGCTATAGATGGAGCAGATGTTGTCCAAACCCCCACAGGCTACAAAGTTCCCTGAGGGGGCATAGGCACAGGTCATGACCCAGGAGGAGCGCAGAGGGATAGCATGGACCTGGAGGAGAATATCACCCCTAGTTAGAGCCATCCAGGGACTGGCAGCCCTATCCTACCCACTTCGAGTGCCAATTTTACCTTGTTGGTGGTGTAGCTGTCCCAAATGATGAGCTTTCCGTCCTGGGAGGCGCTGACCAGCAGCCTGGTGGGCAGTGGCCGGGCGACACAGACAAGGTCAGGGTGTGGACAACACAGGGCCCTGTCCCTTCCCATCTAGAGACACTTCAGAAACGTTCCCCAAATCCTCGCAGTATAATCCTGCATCCCTGGTCCCCAAGGGATACTGGGAATCAGTCTGCCCAAACTTAACTGACATAGATTCTCCCCACCAGACCTGGGGGGTCCTGGAGTCCCCCCATACCATTCTGCCCTTTATGTAAAATAACCCCCAGAGCCTGGGGACACTAAGGCAGAGGCCACCCACGCACCTTGAGTCTGTCCCCCAGTGCATGGCATAGATTTTTGCCAGATGTCCACGGAGGGTCCTCCGTGTTCTCATCTGAATTCTCCCCACTGGGTCCAGCCCAGCTGTGATCTGGAACAACAGAGAAGCTGTATTGGCACAAGGAGACTCAAGCAACAGAAGCCCATCCGACCTCCTGTCCCTTCAAGGGCCCCCAAGTAACTCTACAGTCACCTCACCTGGGTCAGTGTGGAATCCCCGCATGCTTTTCTGGCGTCCTGTAAGTGATGGGCAGAGCAGGAGAAGGGAAGTAGAGAAGCGGGGGAGGTGAGGAAAACAGGAGACAAGGCAAAGGGAAGAGAGGATGAAACGGAGACATTGGAGGTTAGGATCCCCTTTCTTCTCTCACCCTGCGAAACACACACACAGCCACACACACATCCCCGGCCACAGGCAACCCAGTCTGCTCAGGTCAAAGGGAAGCAGCACACTCAAGCCACGCCTGGCCGGCTCGGCCTCCCCAGCACAGTCAGGCCCTCACCCGGATCTGGTTCCGGAGCTGCTCGGCCTCCTGTCTCAGTTGCTCCAGCTCACTCATGGCGCCGGGCCCGTGGGGCGGGGTTGGGGGCGGCTGGGGGCCGCGGGACGGGGGCTGGGGGAGGCAGCTCCTGGCCGCTGGCCCGAGGCCTGGGAGGGGGGGGATGCAAGGCTGACGTCAGGCCCCAAGACCGCCCGGGAAGCAGCCGGGAAAGGCGGGGTGGAAGCCCGTGGCCCGGAAGGGGTCAGCTGGGCAGGGGGAGCAGAGGACGTGGTACCCGGGGCAGGAATGGGGTCTCTGGCACCCAAGAGACGTTGCCAAGGAACAGACGACTTCCCCAATCTTCCTCCCGGGCCCCCGGAAACAGAGTGGGAAGTGCAAGAGGAAGAGCAGGGGAAACCCCTCCCTCGGACAGCAGCCCGGGCGGGACACTCGGGCGGCAGGAACTGGGGATGGGGTGGGGGGGGGGAGTCCCTTCGAAAACAGACCTGGCGTCCGCCCCAGCCCGCACAAGGCGCCGCCCTCCCAGCACCTAATTTTAAAAAGGGGCGGTGCCTCTTTAAATTCACCCCCACACCCACACACCGCACACCCTCCGCACACACCCCCAGCTAAGACAGAGGTGGTGATGGGGGGGGGGCTGAGGGGAGAAGCTAGGCTGTTCGTGGGGTTGCCTAGGCAACCGTCACCCGGACTGAGAGCACCTCATTGGTGAAGTGCCCCCACCCTCTAGCCTCGTTGCCAAGGCAACCGCATCCGCGGCAGAGACCTGTAGGGTGGGTGACCCCACCCCCGGCCCCCATCGCCCCCACCCGACCTAGTCTCCTGCCTCTTCCTCAGAAACGGCCAGGATGGCTGTTTACAGGATTTGGGAAAAGCCGATTGAACACTAATAGGTTCGAGACGGCTCAACCAGGGATAATCCCCATTCCGGGCCGGCTGCACCCCATTAGCCGCTGAGAGTAGCAGGGAAGGCAAGCCCCCAAACAGCCTGCTCCCTTCGGCACCGAGGTCGCCCGCCCCGCCGCGCCCGCACAAAGCCCGTGGGAGCCGCTCAGAAGTAATTAGGGCTCCGAAGAGAGGCCGCTGGTCCCAGGGCGCGGAGCTGTTCTCTCCCAGGCGCCGGCAAGCGGCCCCAGACGGCTTGGCCCGATGCCCCTAGGCACCCCAAGAGCCCAGCTCTGCGCCCAGGAGCCCCCGAGGCCTAGTTGGCACCGCTCCAGCCTCCGACGTCCTGCCTTCCCCGGGACACCTGTGCGATCTGGCCGTGCACACAGCACTCTGGCGACCTAGGCGTCCCCCACCCAGCTCCCACTTCCCCCAGCCACTGGGCGTTCCTCTTCCCCGGAGATATTTCCCCCTCTGAGTTCAGGTTTCTAAGCCAGTGCCAGGGGATGCCCCTCCAAAATGAGATGGGAGGGGGCAACGACACAGCTACCACCCTGCTCCAGCTGTGGACAAAAGCCCCTTCCTTCCAGCTTCCAGCAGCCCAGGTCTAGCCGCAATGACACAGGCCTGGGGCAGAAGGAAAACAGGCCACGAAGAAGCCACTGGGTCGGGGGCCATGCTCCCAGCCCTAAGATTCCCCATTACCCTCCAAGATTCCCTCAGCAGCGCCTAGATGCTAGGAATTAAGCATCCACAGCCCCAAACAAAAAAAGGGGTGCCACCACCTCCGCAGGTGTGAGAGGAGACAAGCAAGGGTCCTCAGATCTGGCAGCTGGAAGGCGCAGGCTGGTGCTGAGCTGCGAAGTGCTGTGGGCCAGGCCCTCCAGTTCCTAGGACCTCCATTTTGCCCAAAAGAAAGCTGGGCAAAGGGGACAGGCGACTAGGGCTAGACTTGGGGTAGGGATTTGTAAAAATAATAATAATAAAATGTTGAGATCTCCAGTTTAGGATCTGGGACTCAGAAACCACAGCCAGAGCCCAAATCAAGAGACAGCCAGTAGGGTGGAGACGAAAGCAAGGGTGGCCTTGAGGCCTCGGCTGTACCACCTAGGATTCTGAAGTTCTGCAAGTCTACTGTAAGCAACGGTGTGAAACGAGTGGGCACGAGGGGTTGCTACCCCGGGGCAGGCAGCGGGGTGGTGGTGGGGAAAGGGGGCGGGACAGGGCTAGAAGAAACCCGGAATTTAGCCCCCCAGCTATTAAGGGAGCAAGAGGCAGGCGGGGCTGGGACAGGGGTTTAGGGTCAAAAAAAAAATGCCACTGATACTGCAGGAAACGCATGCATTATTGAAGCCGAGGGTCCCCCCAGTTCCCCTTCCGGGTTTGGAAACGACCGGGCCAGAGGAAGGGAGGGGAGGTCTGGGGAGTTACGTCCGTTTCCCAAGAGCCAAACCCGGGAGACGGAAGGAACGGGGGCTTCCCCCTGCCGCACACACCCCCGTGGGAATTTGGGGCTGGGGGCGATGAGGACTCCTTTTGTCAGCGGAGGTACCTGAGGTGGTGGGACTCTGCCAAGGGGTCGCTTGCAGGAGCGCGGGAGGTCCTGTCTTCCTCCGCGGCGGAGGCGGCAGCAGCGGCGACGCGGATGGATTTCCTCAGTCACCCCAACTCAACCGTCCAGCGCAGCTCTCCCCAGAGCGGAGGGATCCCGCCCGCCAGTGACGCGGCCGCCGCCGCCGCGCCCAGGGCCAGGCTGGGCGAGACCAACTGCGCCGGTGGGTGGGGGGAGTCGGGACGCGGGAACACAGCCTCGGGGGCAAAACCCGACTCGGTCACCGTACGAGCCCAGTCTCGTGGCTTTCCAACTCATCGGGGAGCACAGTCAGGAGTTCTCTTCCTGAAAAGGAGCAAGCCATCCTCCCTCAGGACAGCAGAGGTGGTATAGCCATGGGGGGGGGGGGGGGGGAAAGAAAAAAAAAAAAAGCCTCTCCGGTCACGTGACCGACCTCCTTCGATTCTTTTCCTCCCCCCCCCCCCCCCCATTGGGCGGCCCCAGACTGGAGGCTTGAAGGCCCAGTTCTCGGTTTGACCACGCCCCTACGTGGGAAACCACGCCCCTTCCCGGAGGCGGAGCTAGAGAAGTCCCAACCAGTGTAGGACAGAGGGGCAAAAAAAAAAAAAAAAAAAAGAAAAAAAGAAAAAAAAGCGGTTGGTGACCGCTAGGAGCCTAGAAAATGCAGTTAGAGGGAATAAAACCCAAATAGTTCTTCAGCGCAGCCCTGTGGGGGTTATAGGCTCCCTAGACTAAGCCTCATACCGCGGCAATAATTGTCTATCTTCATTGATTTGCAAGCCTAGAGGTGTTTGCTTTTTGTGTCGTGAGCCCACTAACTACATAGCCAAGAATGATCCTGATCTCATAAATCCTCCTGCTTCTGACTACCCAGTGCCGGGATCGGAATGTATGCACCATCGTGCCCGGTTTATGCAGGGTAGAACTCAGGGTTTCAAGCCTGCTAGGCAAACACTCTATCAACGGAACCACCTCTTCAGCCTATACTTTGGTTTATTAATCCTTCACAATCCTGATTACGGACTCAACTGAGATTAGAATCTCAGGCAGCTTTAATAACTTGACTGTGTGACCGTGGAGCACCTCCACCAGGAGAGTATCGATGAGTGTGTTGACGGTTATCCTCAGGTCTCCTGCATTGTTGGGAGACTCATCCCCATAGACTGTGAAAGTGTTTCGGGAAAGTTCAAGTTGTCGGATGGCCTTCGGACCGTCCTCATAGTTTAGGGAATTAAAACACACTATTCAAAATAGGCTGTGGTGGATTTTGTGGACAGTTATAGAGACGGAAGAATCAAGAGTTCACATTCGTCTTCACATACATATTGAGTTGGAGGCTAGCCTGGGCTACATGAGACCCTGTCTCAAAAAGTGTGGGGGGGGACTTGGGGGATGATGGCTCAGTCAGCAAAGTTCTTGCCATACAAACACAAAGACCTGAGTTTGATACCCTAAAACACAATCCAGACACAATGGCCATGCCTATAGTCCCAACACTTGAGAGGCAGAGACTGAACTTGGGGCAAACCCGAGGCATTGCTGGGCAGCGCGTCTAACTCAATGAGGGAATTCTAGGTTCAGTGAGATGTCTTGTCTCAAAAATTAAGGTGGGAGCTGGAGAGATGATTCGGTAGTTAAAAGCACTTACTGCTCTTCCGAAGGACCTGGGGTCAGTTGCCACGTGGTGGCTCATAACCTTCTGTAACTCCAGTTCCAGGGAATCAAATGCCCTCTTCTGGTGCACCAGCTACACAAGCAAGGCACACACAAACATACAAGTGAAATATTTATACACATAAATAAAATAAACCTAAGGCGCAGAGTAATTGAGGAAGACACCATCCACCACTGTCCACTTAAAAACTCCCGGTCATCAGATGTGGTAGCCCACACTTGTAGCTCCAGACCGGCACAGCAACGCCCTGTCTCAAAAGTATATGGCAACAGCAGTACTCATTCAGCCCTTCCTTCCTTTTTCCTTCCTTCCTTCCTTTCTTCCTTCCTTCCTTCCTTCCTTCCTTCCTTTCTTTTCCTTCCTTTCTTTCTTTCTTTCTTTCTTTCTTTCTTTCTTTCTTTCTTTCTTTCTTTCTTTCTCTCTTTGTTTTCTTAAGACAGGGTTTCTCTGTGCAGATCTGGCTGTCCTGGAACTCCCTCTATAGACTAGGTTGGCCTCAAACTCACTTATCGTCCGCCTCTGCCCGCCTTGTACTGGGATTAAAGGTGTGTACCACCACTACCAGCCAGCTTTATTTTCTTCTTCTTTTTTTTTTAAAAAACAACATTCATTATTCAGATTGCACCTATATGGACTTATGAATTCTATGACATATATAGATAATAGAGCCAACATTAGAGTTTAGAAAGGACATCATAGTTTTACTTCAGCTTCCTCAAAGTACAGAGGGGCAAAGTGTCTTCCTTGAGACCACTTAAGCGAGCTAACAAGCCGGCCTCTGCGGCGCTGCCACCTCTCATGCCGATTTCCAAGCTAATGGGCTCCCCTGTTTTCGCTCACTCGGCCAATGTTGACTGACCCCACTGGTCTTCCGAAAGGCTCTGTTGTAAGCACTGAGGGTGCAGCCCCTCACCTTGCAAGGAAGCTGCGGACTGCAGAGGAGAAAGATGGGAGATGGGCATGGAAAGAAAAACTGAGTGTGGACGCCTTGTATCAGCTGCTTGGCTGCAGTTATGAAGGAAGTAGCTTAAGGAAGGAAGGGTTTATTTGGGCTTGCAGTTAGAGAGGAACGCTTAACAGCGGGGGCACAAGGAACTGGTCACGTTGCTTGCGAGCAGAGAGCATGAGGTGCTCGCTCGCTTTCTCCATTTTATTCAGTCCAGGGCCTCAGTTCATGCGATGATGCCTTCCACACTAAAAGTGGGTCTTCCCACTTCCCCTAAATCTTTTGGGAAACACCCTGACAGACACTCCTAGAACCTTGTTCCCCAGGAGATCCTCTATTCCCATCGAGTTGACACTCAAGATTGACAATCACATGACCTGAAGGGACGAGCCTAAAGATGGATTCCATTACGGCATTTTCATATATGCATGCCATGGTGCCTAATTTTTATCGGTTCTCTTCCCTCATCATGTTAGGGAACACAATATATGGGAGAGAAGGAGTTCTTGAGGAGGAAGGTAAGAGTTTTAAGCTGGACGCACCGAGAGGAATGTTCACTGTGTGGTGTAGAAACTGGTCTGGAATTCAGCACAGAAATCTTGCTTGGAATAGAGCCCCGAGAGTGAGTGGCACATTCAAGCAGATGAAGTCATTTCAAAGAGAACCAAAAAAAAAAAAAAAAAAAAAGGCTCAGAAAAAGACAAAATGGCCAAAGACCAACCTCTAAGGAACTCCAACATTTAGAGGTCAGGCACTGTCGAAACTGCCAAAGCGGAAGCCAGAGAGCTGCAGAGACAATCAAGAGAATGTAGGGTTCCAGAATCCAAAAGTGTTCTCAGTAGGAAACGCAAAAGAACGGTCGATCGGTCAGTGCTGCAGATAGATGGACCAAGACTGCTCGGAGATATATGCATGGGGCTGAGCAACACAGACAGAGGCCCTGGGAGCCTCGTCTAAACCGTTTGCAAGGAGCTGAGAGGAGGCTGCGAGGAATTGTGCGTAGCTGTGTCCTCCAAATGGAAGCATTTCCTGCAGGAGGGAGGAGAGGGCATCAGGAGACCAAAGAAGCCAAGGAAACTTGCAAGGCTCAGAGTGCTTATAAAAGCGACAAGTCCCGCAGGACCCTTCCCAGGCTTATAGGCAGCTCACACCAGCTAAGAGAAAGGAGACTCTGCAAGCTGGACAGGGAGCACCAGGGATGTGACCTTTGATGGCTGTCACCCATGCTACCTAGTAAATTCCTATAAACTCATCACTTTACCAAACTAGACTTGAGTGAACTTCTTTTTTTGAGACAAGGTCTTTCTAAGTAGCCCTGGAACTTGCTGTGCAGACCAGGCTGGCCTCGAACACACAGAGATCCTCTTTCCCCTGGCTCCTGAGTGCTGCGGTCAAAGATGGGTGCCACCACACCTGGTTCAAGTTGTTTCTTTGTTCCGATGTGTATGTGGGTGGGTGTGTGGGTACAGATGGACACGCACATATGTGCAGATTCATGAAGACCTCGCGTGTTCCTTAGGAACGCCATCCACCTTAGTCTTATCCTTTCCGTGTGGGGAGCGCGTGTGTGTCCTGGAGTTTGTGCACCCACGGAGTCCCGCTCTGCCACTCTCCGCGGTCTCTCCCTCACGGAACCTGGAGCCAGGCCGGCAGGCAGCAAGCTTCAGACGTCTTCGTGTCTCTGCCTCCCACAGAGCTGCTGTTGTCGGTGCCTGCGCGTGGACACGCCCAGCTTTTCAACTCCGGTGCTCAAGTTTCAAACTCGGGTCCTCACGCTTTCGTAGCAAGCGATCTTGCCCAACAGCTTATCTCCCGAGCCTCCCAGCTTGTCTCCGAATCAGTAACGCTGGCAGCCCAGTGAGTCCAGGGAGCCGCCTGCCTCCACCTCTCCGATACTGAGATTTTAAACACCATGCCCTGCTTTTCCACGTGACTTTTGGGGATCAGGTTCATGTCCACACGCTTTCTCTTGGCGCTGTCGTCCCAGCCCCTTGGGTGGGCTTGTTTTGATGAGCTCTCGTTAGTCCCGTATGTGGACAAATAGACATCTTATTCTCATTTACCCAAGAGAACTCGCACAGATGGACATGAGGACACGTGAGAAGTGAGGCAGTTGGAGGGACGGCCTAAGTGGCTAAGGCTTTGGAAATCGAGGCTTAGAGAAGTACTGATGATTGGAGCCCCATGGGAAGATCCCGTAGAGTCAAACGTCAGTTGTGGGTTTTTTGTTTTGTTTTGGCAGAGGACGGGGATCAAACCCAGAGCTTCATATACATATCCTGTAACCAGAGAAACCCCCAAGTTGATATTTACTTTTTTTATTTTACTTATTTACTTACTTTGGGATATATATGTACAT